AGGCCCTGCCAGCCCAAAAGGTTTCCCTTTTTCCCCGTGCACACTCGTTATCGGCAGGACAGTCTTGGTTTCGCTGCGGGGTGGAAGGAGGTGAGTTTGGATAAGGCTGACTGAGCTGCCCGAGTCCAGCAGAGCCCGAAACGGCCGGCCGTTGACCTTGACCCTGACTTCCGGGGCTCCCGCCGGCAGGTCTCGATGTACTATGCACCCTGCCAGCCATATCCGCGCGGGATTCGAGGTAACTTCGGTAGGCATGGGCTCATCCCGCGGAGTGGGAGCCGCCGGCCTGCTCACGAGATGCCCCCCGGCGTGTGATGCTCCTGGACCACCCTCCGGGGAAAAGGCGGCACTCGCTCCCCAGCCTCCCGTCGGTGGGCCGCCTCCGCCAGCTCTATTGCCTCCACGAGTTCCAGCGTGGTAGCGGGGTTCCGCATCCCCACGGCTTGGAGGTGGGTTCGTGGTAGGGCCCTGAGGAGTCGATCAATCACCACGCGTTCCGCTACTTGGGCGGCCGTGGGACCCCCGTCTAACAGCCAGTGTTGCGCGAGACGAGACAACTCGGCGGCCTGGGCACGGGCGGGCAAGCGGAGTTGATAGACCCAGTCATGGAAATATTGGGCCGCGCATACCGGAGACAGCCCCACCCGGGCCAGAATTTCCCTCTTCACTTCCTCGTATTGCGTGGCCACAGCGGTAGGTAAACTGAAGAAGGCTCGTTGGGCTTCCCCAGTCAGGCGAGCTCCTGCTCGGTTTCCCCCTGTCGTGTGGCGAGATGCTCCACTATTTGCTGTGTATAACTTAATTTATATATTGTAACGGGGTGGAAGGAACACGGGACAAGGAGAGCTCAAATAAATACCCCGGAGGGTGGATTTATTCACAGCTCAAGTGTCCAAGTGAGGGAGGTGGGTGCTGAGGTGAGTCGATGCTTCTCCGGGAGTGAGTCGGTGCTTCTCCGTGAGCGAGTTCCAGTTTGGCGAGTCCGTGTGGCGCTCGTGTCCGGGCTGCTTGGTCACGTGCTGGTTTCTGGAATGTAAAGGAGAGAACACGTTAGACTTCAGCTTCTGGGAGAGTGGGAGATGCCCTCCGGCGCGCATTGCTCCTGGACCACCCTCCGGGGAAAAGGCGGCACTCGCTCCCCAGCCTCCCGTCGGTGGGCCGCCTCTGCCAGCTCTACTGCCTCCACGAGTTCCAGCATGGTAGCGGGGTTCCGCATCCCCACGGCTTGGCGGTGGGTTCGTGGTAGGGCCCTGAGGAGTCAATCAATCACCACGCGTTCCTATACTTGGGTGGCCGTGGGACCCCCATCTAACAGCCAGTGTTGCACGAGACGAGACAACTCGGCGGCCTGGGCACGGGCGGGCAAGTGGGGTTGATAGACCCAGTCATGGAAGTATTGGGCCGCGCATACCGGAGACAGCCCCACCCGGGCCAGAATTTCCCTCTTCACTTCCTCGTATTGCGTGGCCACAGCGGTAGGTAAACTGAAGAAGGCTCGTTGGGCTTCCCCAGTCAAGAGAGGTGCCAGCGCTCATGCCCAGTCGTCGTGTTCCCAGCCCTCAGTCGTTGCGGTGTTCTCAAACATCTGAAGGTAGACTTCCACATCATCGTGTGCAGTCATCTTTACTAGCTAGTTTGTAACTAAATCTATACATTATTTGGTTGCACCTGTTGTTCGTAAGGCAGGACGTATGGTAGTAGTTCGTAAGCTCTCCGTAAAGTAATGCGTAGTCTATAAATATGACGTTTAACCTAAATCATCCAATAGAAACCTTCAAATTCGTGAGTAAAACTTGTTTAAATGCTATGAATTTTAATTTATCCTTCATTCTAACTTCTTTTACCTATACTTTTACTTATACTATCGTTGAGCTTCCCCAGTCAGGCGAGCTCCTGCTCGGTTTCCCCCTGTCGTGTGGCGAGATGCTCCACTATTTGCTGCTGGCGGATGCTGACCTCCGCCAGCCGTTGGAGAATTTTGTCCATGCTGTGGGGAGGAGTAGCCACCTGGTAGAGAAAACAAAAGAGAGGGGATGAATGGACGGAGATCACTTGTCGGTGTATCTTCCACCACTTGCCAGCATTCTCCACCAGTGTAACGGGGTGGAAGGAACACGCGACAAGGAGAGCTCAAATAAATACCCCGGAGGGTGGATTTATTCACAGATCAAGTGTCCAAGTGAGGGAGGTGGGTGCTGAGGTGAGTCGATGCTTCTCCGTGCGTGAGTCGGTACTTCTCCGTGAGCGAGTTCCAGTGTCGGTGAGTCCGTGCGGCGCTCGTGTTCGGGCTGGTTGGTCACGGGCTGGTTTCTGGAACGTAAAGAAGAGAACC